GGAGGGAGGTAGAGACAAAGGGAAGAGCTAAAGAAACATGATGATTAAAAAGAATATTCTGAAAGACCAAAAGAAGGTGGGCACTAGTGAATAAAGGGTAATTGCTAATGTGTTGCTGTGTTGTTGTTGCTAGGCTGGCTGCTGGGGTGTTAGATACTTTGGTGTTCATGTAGACTGTTGGGGTGTTACTGGGTTGTTGCTAGGTTGTTTCAGTGGTGTCCTTGTTTGTCATGGCTAAGGTTGCAAGTGTATAAGATTTTTTTTGGTATGACAGCTCAGAAATGATCATGGTTTCATGGTTTTATAATTAATATTATTACACCTTACTGTTATTATAAAAGTCAAGTTCAAGTAAAAATCCTGTATTGAAAATGTCAAGTAAAACTAAGTATTCTCAGTAGTTCTGTGTCCTCAAAGCAAGAAGGTTCCAGGTTCAAGCCCAGGCTGACCCAGGGCCTTTCTTTGCAGAGTTCGCTTGTCCTCCCTGTGCCTACACGGGTTCTCTCCGGGTACTCCGGCTTTCTCCCACAGTCCAATGTTAGCTGGGATAGCCCCGCCCCCCGACCCTATTCAGGAATAAGCAGTAGAGATAACGAATTGATGGATAGAAGTATTATCATAAAAATGTACTTATAAAAGTAGTATTCGGCTACTCAATGTAGAAAAATGTTGTACTATACAGTTGAAGTCAAGTTTACAGAAACTTCGATTGAAGTCATTAAAACATTTTTTTTAACCACTCTACAGATGTCATATTAACAAACTCTTGCTTTGGCAAGTCAGTTAGGACATGTTATGCATGTCACAAGTAATATTTTTTGTACAGATAGATTATTTCACTTAGAATTCACTATATCACAATTTCAGTGGGTCAGAAATGTATATACATTCAGCTGACTGTGCCTTTAAACAGGTTGGAAAACTCCAGGAAATGATGTCATGGCTTTAGAAGGTTCTGATAGGCTAACTGACATTATTTGAATCAATAGGAGGTGTACATGTGGGTGTATTTTAAGGCCCACCTTCAAACTCAGTACCTCAGTTTGTCATCATGGGAAAATCAAAAGAAATCAGCCAAGACCCCGCATGTAAAAATGGACCTCGGCAAGTCTAGTTCATCCTTAGGAGCAATTTCCAAATGCCTGAAGGTACCACGTTCCTTTGTAACAACATGACAAGACAATACACCCATCATACCACTCAGGAAGGAGGTTCGTTTTGTCTCCTAGAGATCAACGTACTTTGGTCTGAAATGTACACATCAATTCCAGAACAACAGCAGAGGACCTTGTGAAGACACTTGAGGAAACAGGTACCAAAGTATCTCTATCTACAGTGAAATGATCTATATCAACATAACTTGAAATGTTGCTCAGGAAAGGAGAAGCTACTGCTCCAAGACCACCATAAAAAAGGCTGACTATGGTTTTCAGCTGCACATGGGGACAAGAATCTTACATTTTAGAAAAATGTCCTCTGGTCTGATGAAAAAAAATTGGGATCAATAAAGTTCTACCTTAACTTACCTATGACATCACGAGGAAGGATAATTATGTGGATATATTGAAGCAACATCTTAAGACATCAGCCAAGAAGTCAAAAGTTGGTCCCAAATGGGTTTTCCAAATGGACAATGAATCCAAGCAGGCTTCCAAAGCTGTAGCAAAATGGCTTAAGGACAACAAAGCCAAAGTATTGGAGTGGCCATCACAAAACCATGACCTCAATCCAGTAGAGAATTTGTGGGCAGAACTGAAAAAGCGTGTGTGAGCAAGGAGGCCTACCAACCTGACTCAGTTCTGCCAGGAGGATTGGGCTAAAATTCCAGCAACTTATTGTTAGAAGCTTATGGAAGGCATCTTGAAATGTTTGGCCGAAGTTAAAACAATTTAAAGGCAATGCTACCAAATACTAACAGAGTTTACTTCAGGACCACTGGGAATGTGATCAAAGAAATAAAAGCTGAAATAAATCTTTTTTTCTACTATTATTCTGACATTTCACATTCTTAAAATAATGTAGTCATCCTAACTGACCTAAGACAGAGAATGTTTATGGGATTAACTGTCAAGAGTTGTGAAAAACTGAGTTTAAATGTATTTGGCTAAGGTGTATGTAAACCTCTGATTTCAACTATATATCCTTTACTGTCCTTTATATTTTATATTATTACATTAACAGCCTATCACTCATGCATTGATGGAAAAGCATGATTTGACTGTTGTAGTTGGTTGAGGTGAACCTCTTTCGAACTATTTAGGGTCCAAGCAAGTGCAACTACTCATTATTTTCATTATGGATTAATATGCTCGTTATTTTCTATATTAATCAATTGACTGGTTTGTAGAACTTCTGACAATAATGAGAAATGCCATTACAATGATCTAAATGATGATCAAAATAGTTGCTAATTTACTGTAGGTGCGCGACAGTGCAATCAGACTGACCCTCTCTCTACCTTCACTCACACACACACACACACATACTTATGTGAGCCAGGAAGGTTTGTGTGTGTGTTTCTGGGTTCACATCAGGATAAGTGTGTCCTTTTGTAAGTAAAAGATTAGCGAATGAACAGACAATGTGGAAAATTATTTTAATAGCGCTTTTTATGTCCGACATTTATATGCTCACATGTTTTATTGTTTGGGATTAAAATTATAAACATACTGTACAGACCCATACAGCTCTATTATCTGCACAGAGGGATGGCGTTCCTGAAGGTGTTCCTTTCTGGTATATCCAAATAATCTTGAGCTGCTGATTTTAATTTCATTTCTGGTGGATGTAGTTTGGTGATATCAGCCTCCTTCTCTCTGCCATTTGTCCATTGCATGTGTATGTGACAGGCAGTCGGGGAAGAAAAGTGCACAGTGCATTTTTTTCTAATAACAGTAATGAGCAAATGTACATTGTAAGCATCTATTTTCATACCATGATGTACCTTGAAACCAGTATACTGCTGCAACCCTAGTCATGGCAGAGGTTTGCTGAGTGACTGTTATGGGGTTTTGTGTTTTTTCCGGGTCAAGTGGTTTCTAGGATGTTAATAGGAGGTTAACTGTATGATTTGGAAGCTTATTTTGGCAAATCTGGGTGGTTGCACAGTGACAACCAGGTGTTTGCTGGGGTATATGAGTCAGTTTGCCAGTGGTTGCTAGGGAGAGCTGTATGGTTGCTATAGTGCATTATTTGATGATATTACCCTGTGCGTTTACTGCAGAGCAAACATACCAATTAAGCGGGGGCAATCACATTAGTGTGTGTTGCTTAGCAAGTATATTAATCACAGTGAATTGCCAAAATATCTCATTGCAGGTTTTTACCTCATTTTGGTATTTTTAGTTAAAGGCACAGTTTGAAACATGTAAAGGGAAAAGGCTACATTGGGCAATGAGAATGAATACCACAGAAGAGGACCTCATTCATAGCAATGACAGATTGAAACCCTTTGTCTCTCTATTGATTCAGTCTTCCTGCAGTCATCTTTCTTGCCCTCTCTCAATAAAACACATATTCTTGCTTATTGTCTCTCTTTTACCCATTGTATGTATGTGTCTCATTACTTGTGGCCACACTGAGAGAACTCCTTCCTTTCCATTTTCTTTTCTGTTGGCCTCAATTAGTTTTTTTGAATCCTATTTTCCTTTTATTACCCATGCATTTTTGATCCCCTTATTTTTTAATCACTTTTTTGTTTGTATCTCACACATTCTGTTTGTTAAATTTATTTCAGTTAACTTTTTTTCTTCTGTCTCTCACACTCTTCCTTGTTTCTCTGTTTTCATTCTTAGTAAGCTTCTAACCTTCATGTTCACACCAATTTTTCTTGTTTTGCCTTTGTAGCCAGGTGGTAAACATATACTAAGGGGAGATAAATGAATAACTCAGTTGTTTTCCACTGATGGTGAAAGGTTCCTTAAATGTTTTCAACATTCCAAATGTCAAGTAATGTTTATGGTTTTCATGTTAATGTAACACAGTTCAATTTTGGTGATATGTAAAAGTAACCTACAGTGGGCTATTGGAGCTTAATGCTACCTAGTATCTTGGCCACTAGATGGCAGTATGGACTGACAGGTGTACATTCCACCAGAACTTGACCAAATGCATTGTGGTCCCTTCTTTCTTTTACGTTGGACTTAGCTTGAGAGTGGAGTGCCATGATTTTTTTGGACTTATGTAAGTAAATATGCTGAAATCTTGTTGGATTCTGTTGTGTCAAAACTTTAAAGAGGTCATTTATAAGAATTCTAACAAGATGATGCATTATAGATGCCAATGGTGCTGGCGGCGGTGTGTCTGACATAGAGCGGGTGAGCTTTTGGCAGAATGTAAGTGTCTATGTATGTGAATGTGGTATTTTACAGATTTTTGGTTACTGTTTGGTTATTTGGTTTTTACAAATTATTTTGTTTTGTTTGTGTGTACGTCCATAGCCCACTGCCGTATTTTGTTACCCCTTTTTTTTGTTATTCCCTTGAACAAGTAACTGCGTCATCCCACCTTATCAGTGACTTATAGCACGTCGGTAGAATCCTATAATGCTTTGCTTTCTCCATATGTACATTACAGTAGAGCTTGATTTTCTTTAAGCCATACAGCAATTTTATTGCATTGCTACATAAAAGAAGATGGTGAGAAAGCCAAATTGAACCTCAGAGGACACAAACTTGCATGTGCATATTCAACCACACCAGACATTTGCTCATAAACGTCTGGAAGGTACAGTACCACACAGCCTAGAATAATGACTAAAGGTGACAGTGGCTTTGCTATCACAGCTATTAAATGGAAATATTACTTAAAATTATATATATAATATCTCATGAATATTTGTGTATAGAGGTTTAATGCATTTTTATTCTTTTACTTGCAGGAACTGTTGGCATTACTGCATTGATCAATGAAGACTGAGCCACTTTAGCACAAAAAAATATAATAGTATCACAGTAAATGACCAAGTTGACTCTCTTCACCATCTACTGTCTGTGTTCCAGGTAGTGCTGGTACACCAGTGGTTTTCAATGAGAATGGAGATGCTCCTGGAAGATATGATATCTTCCAGTACCAGATCACCAACAGATCTACTGCTGAGTACAGAGTCATCGGCTCCTGGACCAATAAACTACACCTCAAAGTGAGATTTTTACACAGATATAAACAGAAACACACAAGTTTCCTTTGCACAAAGAGTACATTCCACTACAGGCATTCTAGCAACAAGTATATAAAGCAGTTGCGTGCAGTGAAGTCAAACCAAAAATGATAAAATGAACAAGGGCATAAGTAAAATATGATCTGGAGAAATCCAACTAAAAGTGATCAAGGAAATCAAAACTTAACTGAAAGAACTTACCAAAAAGATTAGATATTATACAAATATATTTTACTGATTATATATTTACAATTGTCGAAGTCTCACACTTCTTCTCGGGTCCAGATGATTCAGTCACACACCAAACATTAAAGTGCACTATACCTTTATTACGGATGCATCCGGAGACCATACAGCAAGCAGCAATAGCAGATGATCTGAAGTCACATCACTAACACTGTGTATTTTATACTTTTTCTTCCCGCCTCCTTACACATTCCTCAGCATACAGCTGGAAAGTACCAGCACTTTCCCAAAGATATTCTTGCAGGATGAAAGTAGTACATTCTGTAATTAAGAAACACACACACACATAATGATATGGTGAACATTCTGTAATGTTGGGAAAATTAGAACTTATCCTTATAAGTTCATTGAGTATAAAACAGTGGAGTGTTCCAGACATCTTTATATCCCACTGTGTTCAATCATTTACTTTTCCTTCAGTGACTCCCTTAAAATGAAGCTGTGCTAGGCACGACCCCCCAAAAATACATTTCAATATTAGAGTGATCACATACACACATTACAACTGAGTTGAAGGCTACATTCCTATTAGTACAGTAATATAAAACAGTGCTCATGCTTTAATCTGAGTGAAAGTTGCACTCCTTATAAGTGCATAAAAGATACTAGTGTCTTAGCTACAATACATATTCCTTACATGCGCATAGAAAACAGTGTTAGTACTTGAGTTGCACAACTTAATATCCCACACAATCTAAAAAGGTTTATACAGAAGACATATTGTTGCAGATGTGATTCCAGCTCACTGCATGTTGAACCATCTTATTGTTCTAGTTGCTGACCTCTGTGAAATAAAGAAAAAAAATTTATAATAATCCAAAAAGTGTTCCATTTTTGTTTGTATTGGCAGAATGAAGGTTCAACATCGGTGTGTGCAGCTGCTATGAATGCCAATTCTGAGTTATTTCTGTCATTGAGAAGCAGAATTTTTCTTGAATTGAGGACTTTTACAATAAAGTGTGGATCTTCAGATTATTAAGTCTTGTGCAGGGACATACACCAACAAACTCCCACACAAGATCACGTACATCTAATATACACAGAACACACCTGAGCCTCACAGCCATCCACACAGAAACATAATTTAAAACATAAGAAAACTACAAATCCATTGTCTTTGTTTCTATTTATCACTCACTGACTTACACTCACACACACACATACATGTCTTTATGCCTTTGTGTGGCCCACGTTCTGTGACTTCTTTGTGAGCGCCACCACTTCTACTATTGCTACAATGGAGCAAAACACAAATCTATCATGAGGTGGAAATAGAGAATCAAAATGTCACTTCAGAATTCAGAAAACTCAAAATAAAAAAAATTGTTTTCTTCTACACGTGTGAGGACCAGAGCCTGTTGCCAAGCAGATTTGGTGAGCTGGACCTTCTGTCACAATTAGTAGATACAATGCATGTTATATCACCAGATTTTAGTAGATCTTTCATAACTGTCCCATCTTACTTTCCTAGTTAACCCAAACAACAGCATTACAGAGATGGAAGCATGTGGTTTTTAATTTTGCCAATGTAAAGTGTGGCGTTCACTTTTTGGACCAGATTACCAGGGGCACGAAGTTGTTGCTGGGCGGTTTTAAATTGTTTAGCCCAGGGAGGGGGCTTAAGCGTGGGTACACAGGTTCAACCAGTGCACCGGGTGCCTGGAGCTCTGGTCCACCTGGAGCTAGCCGGTTCTTTTCCCCCACTATGGAGCTCCATTCCCGTGCCACTCCCTGGTGATAACAAAGCATAGAGTCCCTGGGGCTTTGGTTCAGACTATTTATATGTAAATATAATGTATAGTCCACATAGGTTCAGGTCAAAAGCTTTTTTTCTTTTGTCAGTTATCTTTTAGTAAAAATCTAAAACAGGGTCAATTTGACCTGGACGCAACACAAAGGTTAAATTTGATTGTATTTACATCTATTAAAAATGTATTATAAAAATGGTATATGGTATGCATCTCTGCATTTAAAACTGGGTAGTTTTGCAGACATCTAAACTTTAGGTTTTTTCAATCTTACATGTCACTTGCTAAGTTTGCTTAACACCAGTAACACTGAAAGCAATGTTTGTCAAAGTCCTCTAATCTTGATTTACCTATTTTAATTCACCCACTCCATTGAAAGAAGCTTGATAAACAATTTAGCACACAAAATTAGTCGCAACTGGCTTTATTTGAACAACATAAATTAAAAATGAACTACAACAATTTCCTTTTTTGAGACATGATGGAGTTGTGGACATGATTCTTTAAATCTTTCCAGTTGCGACTGCCCAGTGCTGGTTCTGCTTCAAGTGCCTTGAGGCAGACCTCTTTACCAGGAACTCTTTGCATAGTGATGCACTGCCCCAGTTGTCGCCACACCGCTGCTTGTTCTGCAGAACTCCATGGCCTGCACTGGTGTTTGTTTTTGCTGAGTAACTGTAGGTCCACAGCTGAAATAGAAATGACAAATGTGATAGACATTCTCAATATTGTTAAATCAAAAATTTACCTGGTGATCTAATTTGTAATGTGTTGTTAATCCACATCTACTGTAATTACCACTACTCAAGTCTGAGAACTGAGCAGTACCTGTTTTCTGTCCTTTTGAGCTTGTGTGATGGTCCTGTAGCTGAGGCCTGTTGAGTCAGCATGTCTGATTCTTCTGCAGCAGAA